GATGACCACGCAATGTTTCAGAGAAGTGTCAACCATGACAGCCCTACAACATCCATAGCCTTGAGATACCCAGGACGAACCTCATCCGCCCCTGGGGCTCCGCCGCTGTGTAGTTGTTTGACTACCTCAGCAACTTCTGCCCCCGAGATTGGACAGTCCATCCCCAGGTCTCCCGGCTCTGGTTCCTCCTCGGAATGTGCATAGGTGGGATTGAGGAGCTCCTAAAATTATTCCTTCCACCGTCCGACTATAGCCCCAGTCAGCAGCTCCCCATCCCCACTGTAAACAGTGTGAGCGAGTTTCTGCCTTCCTCTCCTGAGGCGCCGGACAGTTTGCCAGAACCTCTTTGGAGCCGATCGATAGTCTTTCTCCATAGCCTCACCAAACTCCTCCCACGCCCGAAATTTAGCCTCGGCAACTGCCACTGCTGCACCCCGCTTGGCTCTCCGGTACCTGTCTGCTGCCTCCAGAGACCCACAGACCAGCCACGCCCTGTAGGCCTCCTTCTTCAGCCTGACGGCTCCCCAAACCTCTGGTGTCCACCAGTGGGTACGGGGGTTGCCACCACGACTGGCACCGGCCACCTTGCGACCACAGCTACCAACAGCCGCCTCAACAATCGCAGAGTGGCACAAGGCCCACTCAGAGTCAATGTCCCCCACTGCTCTCGGGATGCGGTCAAAGCTCTGCCGGAGGTGGGAGTTGAAGACCGTCTTAACAGGTTCTTCTGCCAGGCGTTCCCAGCAGACCCTCACTATGCGTTTGGGTCTGCCAGGTCTACGCGGCATCTTCCCCTCCCATCTGATCCAACTCACCACCAGGTGGTGATCAGTTGACAGCTCCGCTCCTCTCTTCACTCAGGTGTCCAAAACATACGGCCGCAGGTCAGATGATACGACTAAAAAGTCTATCATCGACCTGTGACCTAGGCTGCCCTGGTACCAAGTTTACCGATGGGCATCCTTATGTTCGAACATGGTGTTCGTTATGGCCAAACTGCTGCTTGCACAGAAGTCCAATAACGAAACACCACTCGAGTTCAGATCAGGTGGGCCGTTCCCAATCACACCCCTCCAGGTCATGCTGTCATTGCCCACGTGAGCATTGAAGTCCCCCAGCAGGACAATGGAGTCCCCTGATGGAGCACTATCTAGCACTCGTCCCAGGGACTCCCAAAAAGGGTGGGTACTCTGAACTGATATTTGGCCCATAAGCACAAACAACAGTCAGGACCTGTTCCCCGACCCGAAGGCGCAGGGAAGCTACCCTCTCGTCCCCCAGGGTAAACCCCAACACACAGGCACAGAGTCTTGGGGCTAACAAAAAGCCAACCCCAGCCCTCCGCCTCTCACCCGGAGCAACTCCAGCAAAGGAGAGTGTCCAACCCCACTCAAGGACTTGGGTTCCAGAGCCAATGCTATGTGTCGAGGTGAGTCCGACTATATCTAGCCGGTACCGCTCAACCTCTGCCACAAGCTCCTGCTCCTTCCCCGCCAGTGAGGTGAACCAGTAAAGAGCTTGTGGCTGAAGACCTGTCTATTACACTGCTGTGTATATTGTAATGAACTGTGATACTAATTAATAAGCATGAATAATTAATAACTGTCCCCAACAATGTCAAAAGCAAACTGACATCCTTGGTTGTGAGTTTTGGTGATGGGGCCCAATGTTATATTTTTTTATGGAGTCCAAAATCCATGGCAGGGCCCCTGCATCCACCTACTATAAATCAACACCTTTGGCAGCTGGGAAAAATTGTTACACTACCAATGATTTTAAGTTGTTATTCTCTCATCAGTAAGACATGCACAAAAAGCCCATAAGCAATGGTCTTGACTGGTCTTGTTAAAAAAAAGCCGAGCCCGCCCAGTCATAGACCGAGACAAGACCATCCATCCATCTATTTTCATCCGTTTATCGATGAAAGGCCCAGACTTCCATCTCCCCAGCCACTTGGGCCAGCTCCTCCAGGGGAATCCCAAGTCGTTCCCTGGCCAGGTGAGAGACATAGTCCCTCCACCGTGTCCTGGGTCTCCCTTTAGGCCTCCTCCCATTTGGACGTGCCCGGAAAACCTCACCAGGTAGGCATCCAGGAGGCATCCTGACTAGATGCCCAAGCCCCCTCAACTGGCTCCTCTCGATGTGGAGGAGCAGCGGGTCTACTCCGAGCCCCTCCTGGATGACCGAGCTTCTCACCCTATCTCCAAGGGAGAGCCCAGCCACTCAGCGGAGAAAACTCATTTCAGCAGCTTGTATCCACAGTCTCGTTCTTTCGGTCATGATCATAGGTGAGGGTAGGAACGTAGATCGACCGGTAAATCGAGAGCTTTGCCTTCTGACTCGGCTCTCTCTTCACCACAACAGACCGGTACAACGCCCGCATCACTGCAGATGCAGCACCAATCTGTCTATTTATCTCACGTTCCAGTTTTCCCTCACTCGTGAACAAGACCCTGAGACACTTAAACTCCTCCACTTGGGGCAGGAGCTCATCCCTGACCCGGAGAAGGCATTCTACCCTTTTACGAAGAACAAGACAAGACCAAGAACATAACAATTTGGTCTCAAGATAGGTCTTGGGAATAAGACTAGCTTGTCAAGCTAATCAAACAAAGTGTTAGTCCAATAATAAAATGTAAATGGTAAAATGGTAAATGGCCTGTATTTGATATAGCGCCTTCTAGAGTCCTGGAACCCCCCAAGGCGCTTTACAACACAACCAGTCATTCACCCATTCACACACACATTCACAGACTGGTGGGGATGAGCTACAATGTAGCCACAGCTGCCCTGGGGCGCACTGACAGAGGCGAGGCTGCCGAGCACTGGCACCACCGGTCCCTCCGACCACCACCAGCAGGCAACGTGGGTTAAGTGTCTTGCCCAAGGACACAACGACAGCGACAGACTGAGCGGGGCTCGAACCTGCAACCTTCCGATAACGGGGCGAGCACTTAACTCCTGTGCCACCGTCGCCCCAAAATGTAAACCAATCTGTGAAATGACAATGTTTAGGATCAGTGTTATTTTTATATTAATAAGTAATATGACTTTAATTTAGCTGCACTAGACATACTGATCCACGTAATGCTTGTAGTCACATGACACATTTTATCTTTCTCATCCAATCGGAACCTTACTTTCTGAAGCGTGGCGTGCTCTCTGTGGTGTTTATAAATCTGTCAAACTCTGATTCGACCGTAAATCAAAACATCCAGATTAATAAAACCAGTCCCCATGCCATCTTAAGCCAGTTCACCACATTCTAAGAGAAGTATCGGACCGGCCACCTGGACTTCCTTTTTAAGCAAAAAACCGACAAGCTGGAAAATCTGTTGCACTTTACCATCCAAGCAACGATTCGTTTCAGAATAAAAGCTGAACTCACTGACCCTCAGGGTCCATCTGACGCTGTCAACCAGCTGTCGCTTTTTACCTGGAGACAATCCAAAGACTAGTCTGTCGTACTGCTGACGCTGTTTCATCGGCTCCGGTACTGTAAGGAGGGTCAGAGGACCTGGCATTCTGGATATGTACGGAGGTCTCATCCTAAGGATATGTGTGGAGCGACAAAATGGCGTCTCATGTGTTTATGAAACTCCGATCATAGCTCAGAGCAAAACATTACTTCCCACTCAGACTGTTTCTCCGGGTATGAGAGTTCTGATGACAACATCACTCACACATACACCATCCATCTCACATCTCATTCACACCAAGTTCCATTCATTACCCAGAGTTTAGAGTTAGTCTTGTTTAAAAATGTTTAGAAATAAATCTTCTTAAACTTTTTAAAGGTGACTCTCTTCTCTTGTCCCCCAGTCAATACGAAGTGGTTACATAATCCCTGCAATAAAAAGTTCCAATCTTCTGGTTTAAATTATCAAAAGATCCATAAGATTGATTTCAAATTTCCTATGGAATCTCACATTTTATGGTTCATTAAATAGATGTAAATTAAATTATTACAGCTTCTAATGAGAAACTTGTTACTTTATATCAACTTGTGAGTTGCCGAGTCAGCTGGAGACTTGGCCTAGACTTAGCTGCATTTCTCTTGTTCGCTCTTCGTTCTTCCATCTCAGAAACATTGTTAAGCTGAGTCCCATTCTGTCTTGCTCTGAACTTGAGACAGTTCTCCACACCTTCATCTCCTCACGCTTAGACTACTGTAACTCTCTTTTCACGCTGCTGAGCAGAATGATAAATGACCCGCACTTGTATTGCGCCTCTCAGAGTAAGGACTCCAAAGCACTTTACACTACAGTGTATCATTCATCCATTCACACACTGATGGTGATGAGCTACAATGTAGCCACAGCTGCCCTGGGGCGCACTGACAGAGGCGAGGCTGCCGAGCACAGGCGCCACCGGTCCCTCCGACCACCACCTACGGTGGGTGGGTTAAGTGTCTTGCCCAAGGTACTGTTGCCCAAACCTCCCTGAACTGTCTACAGGTGGTTCAGAATGCTTGTGCTCGGCTTCTGACCAAGTCCTCCAAACACACCCACATCACCCTGCTTCTCCTTCAGCTTTACTGACTGCCAGTCAACTTCAGGGTTCATTTCAAGATCCTGGTTCTGGTCTTTAGGGCCTTATATGGACAAGCACCATCATAAATTGGTGATCTTCTCAATCCTTACACCCCCAGCAGGTCTCTGAGGTCCAGTGACCAAAGCCTACTGGTTGTGCAGCGCACCAGGATAAAGACCAAAGGTGACAGGTAATGTGTTGCTGTGGCCCCCAGACTCTGGCCCTCTCTCTCCCTGAGCCTGAGATCAGTGGACTTCTTTAAAAAGCAGCTGAAAAGTCACCTGTTCAGACTGGCTTTTGTGTGACCTTCGTCACCACCCTCTCCTTATTCTGTTCTTATTCCGTCTTTCCGGGATTCATTAATTTCCCTCATTCCTTTTCATTTTCTCTCTCCCTTTTTTGTTCTCTTTTTAAACATTTTTAATGGTTTTTGAAATCTTTTTATACTTGACGTTTTATTTTTTGTTTTTATCTTGAGAGGCGTTATATAAAAGGGTTACTCAACTAATTTCAGTGCCAAACAATGTAGTTACGTGAAAAATTCTAAAAGACTAATGCCTCAAATCACGTACGAGCCAATGACGACAGCCAGTACAAATTCAAAATGTAGTGCAGAGTTTTGACCTGAAGGGGGCGACATAATCGCATTTTAGGTAGAATATTTACATTTTAGATAAGATTCCCAAAAATACCAAAATAATTATTACACATGTCTACAGCACTATTAGCCACTCATTTCTACAGTTCATCAGCAAAAAAGAAAAGTTGATTTGGAGGTGACTTGCTCTTTAACTAGGTGATATTAAAATGTGTGTACCACTTTAAGAGTCTGTCTTGGTGGCTTCTTCCAGTTATTAATAGAGCCTCTGTGTCTTCCTACTCTGACGTAATGCCACAGAGAGACAGGCGGAGGGGTCCTGTCACTGCAAAGCGATAACACTAGTCTGAGAAAAAAAAAGGAAACAAGATTTGCCGATTTGGTTTCCCGTGGACAGCAAATCCCTGCTCCGGGGGTCTGAATCATAATAAAAAGTCGGAATACGGCAAATATCCGAGTCAAACTTCCTCACTATTCAGTCGGCATTAGCTTACTGCATGTGCAGCCGTGAAGTAACTATCTCTCTCTTCCCCCCTCAGACCAAAGAGAGAAAAAAAAGAGACAGCCAAGACACAGTCACCCCGTCCGACATCATCAACAAACAAAAAAACCCACAAAGAGACGAACCAGCCAGCCAGCCACCATCTTAACAGGCTGCTGAAAGAGACACACAGGGAAAAAGAGGCTTGTTTTGATCAACAGGTAAGCGGCACCCAAAAGAAAAAGGACTAGCAACACTAACACAAGTCTCTCATGTATCGCTTAAGGAAGAGGAGGTATAGAAGCGTGTCGGCGGTGGAGGCTTGGAGTTGTAGGCGGCGAAGTGCATGAGGCTCGGAGACGAAAAATCGCTCGTTCCCCCCTCTGAAGGAAGCGATTAAAGGAGGCAGAAATGTTGCTGTTAGCCGTTTGTAGTTTTACGACGGGCAGCAGTCGGTTTGCGTCTTATGTAACTAACGGCCTGAGCAGCGTCGGGTCGTGGAGGAAAGAGGGATCTGCTGAATGAGAGGGAGGAAAAGAGCAGCGCCGCTTTGAATTCACATGGCAATTTACATTTAGACTCCCCAAACGCCACTCTTAATACAAACGGGAAAGAGTGGGGCAGAGGAGAGCCACTGCTTTGATTTAGTTTGAAGCCAGCAAACAAGACGCGGAGTCGCCTTAAGAAGTAGGTTTGTGTTTTTCCTCTTTAATCTCGTGCCGTTCACTTTACGATAAGTGGGCATCCTGATTGATTCTGATTTCAGCCACTACTACTACTGATTTTATCAGTACTAAAACTAACTTATAAGGGTTGCTTTAAAGTTATGTATTTAAAGTGATAACTCATTTTTATGACTATTCAAGATGCAAACTTGATACTCAAGTTCAGATTTCTTCTTAATCCTCCGCATGACGCGCGTCACGGAAAGCGTGCCATAAAAGCACACATTATTGTCGCTGAATGAACCCAAAGCGTCAAACAAGTGTGAGTTTACTTCAAAAGGGGGTTGTTTATTAGTTTACGACCGATATGGCGCTGTTTTTGCACCTCTCAATCGCTGTTTGGGCCGAGCAGGCTGCATGGTGGATGCTATTAAACTGATCTGAATCTTATCAGCCAAACAAGACAAGTGCACGCTATTAGCTGGAAGTCTCGCGGGATTTGTTTATGTATTTGTTGTTGTTGATTGATTAGTGATGCCTGAAAACCTTAGTTGCATTTTCACCCAACTTTTGAAAAAGTTTCACCCCCTCTTCTTCTTCTTCTTCCTCCTCCTCCTCCTCTTCCTCGTTGTAACAAACTGTGATGTTCCTTTGAGATAAGGGAGCCGGGTAGGCATGACAACTCTGTGGGGAGAGCAGAGTATGTGAAGCCAGTACAATGAGGCACACACTGCAAGGAAGCTTTTTAACACACTCCTTCACCACAGTTCCCCCCCGAACAACAAAAAACTTGCCTGTGTGGACTTTTATTCTGCAGATAACCCCTCAAGTTTTTTTAAGCAACTCAGACCTGTTAGATCTACTTATTTGAGATTTTATGAAGTGATAAAGTTCAAGTTGTTGTCAATTATTTGTTAAATAGCATGTATTTAGCTTAAAATGACTTTAAAATTAGGTTGATCAGTTTTCTCAAACTTTTCCCTGAGGAAAAAAATAATCTGGGGAATTTTGTAAATTTTTATGAGAATAATTATTCAACTTTTAATAATTTGCAAAAATAAGGAATTGATCAATTATCTTAACTCTCATGTATTCTGTCAAAGAGCAAGAGGTGTTTTTGTTTTATGGCTCAAAGAAACTTTTAGCTACTTGTTTGTCATTTCTATGAGTTTTCTCACATCAGCTTTTTGTTTTTCATGTGTAATAATGACAAATGTCCTAGTAGTTTCTCAATTCTCATAGGCTTTTCTTTGGTTTGTATAAAAAGTAGATTTTCATCAGAGCCTCTCATTGGAACTGGTTTTTCCGTTTTCTTATACTCTTATTTTTATTTATTTATTTTTTGCTTCAAATGTGACAAAAGTATGTTTAAACTAACTTTAATACCTCTAAATCTTTGCTGTGCTCTATAAGAATAAAAAAAAGTTGAGCTCCAGATGTACGAGCGTCCTGGACACTGGATATTATAGTATCTCGCGGCTGTGTTCGTAGCCGCTATTAAACGTCAAAAAATGGTTGACAACTTCTTAAAGGGAGCCTCTTGCTTGTAAAACTCATTTGTGTGTGTGAGAAAGAGCAGGCGAGACAGCAGAGCGTTTATTCCACGGCCCGCTCATATGGCTGCAATATGTGAATTCTCTGTGGTGGAACTATTGGGGGAGAGAAAGTTTTCAGAGAGAGAGGCAATGGGGGGAACACACGGAGCGAGGGAAGTCAGAAATGTCCTGTTCAACTAGAGCTGGAATGCATCTCCTGGTTTTATTGATGGTTTGATGTTCCGGAAGACACGAAGAACAACTGTAGCGATTTTGCGGGCTGCCATGTATTTGTCTGGTTGTTTTTAAAGTGGTGCCGCGTTACACCGAGAAGGGGAAATCTAGTCAGCTTTTTCCGTAGCACGAAAAGAAGTGTTTTCACCCGTAGAGGTTAGCATGGAAATAAAAGATGCCGTGCATTTTTTTGTGGTCAAATTCTGTCATTTCACCAACAAGCTGACTGGATTAATAAAGAAAAAGTTTGTATCAAACTTTTTTTAAAAAGCCAAAGTAAAGATTTATCGTGAAAGTCAGTGTTCCATTTGCTTAAATTAGCGCAAAAGTCCATCACTTGTTAACAGAGAACTTTTTCCTTCTTCTCCGGGTTCCAATTTTCATCCAGAACTTTGTTTTTAAAACTTTTAAAACAGAAACTAGAGCTCCATTTTTGTCTTTTCTCCTTGTTTTTCTTACCCACTAATCCTTCAATATTTAAAGGCAAAATCAAAATCCTGTCGCTCACAATCAAAAAGTTGCATCCTTTCTTATTTATTTTTTTCATTTTTGGTGTTTCTTGATGCGCCAACTAATTAGATGAATGGGAAGAGTAATTTCTCATAAGTGCCCTCAGCTCGCTGAACTTCCTCAGCACCATTTTCCTCCACCATAAATTAAATCTGTATTCCGACCTATTCCAAAGGGATTTTTAAAAAGGTATTCTTTTATGTAGACTCACATTTCCTATTTATTTGTCATTTCTAATCACATTTATTTATGAATTGAATCGTCCCAACACTCATTGTTGTTAGTAAGCGGAAAAGATAGCATCGATTAGAACAATCAGCTGTGATTCATCTCACCTCCTCGTATAGTTCAGATAAAGCAAAACACCCATTTGTCACGGTCGGTTTATTTGGAGAAAAGTAGTTTATTTTTCTCCAAACCCAAAGATGTTAAGCTTGTATTACTGTCTAAGCTTATTGTTTTGTGCCCTTTTTATATTCGCTTCCCTGGTAAAAGTGGTGGCATTGAAGGGCTTTATAATTTTTTTTCTGACTGCGTTTACTGGAAATCCGTCTGGAAAAGGGTGTCTGCTAAATGGCCAAAATGCCATCCTTGCGCTGTCTGTGGTTTGTACGGTCTTGTTTAGGCCGGAGTCTCTCTTCTTCTGTCTTTTGGTCTATTTCAGACTTTAAATGTAGTCTTTTTTAGATGGCCTGCTTCAGATAACGAGCACATGGTCTTGGTTTAAGGCAAGATGATCCCTTTTTCCCTCGGCTTTCCTATTTCTTAACATTTACTTATTTTTAGGAACATCAAAGTCTGAAATGTAAGGATCTTTTTAGCTAAAGAGATAAAAAAAATCCTTCTTAAAAAGTTACATGGAAAAGTGACGAGTGGCGACTCCGTGGTCACTTCGATGAGCGTTCGGCTCCCACAACTCTACTAATACTTGTTCCTTTTCACGACTGCGAGTTAAAGCTCTATAAGGCCACAAACAACACTGGTTGCAAACACGTGTAACGGAGTTTTTACAGCATCAGAGCCACCAGGAAACCAGTGGCAGCCTGTCTGAGGCAGCTGGGAAATGAAACGTGCCAGATTGCTCTGTGAGTGCTTTGACTCAGCAGCGTACGAGTTGCACGACACTTCCTGTACGCCCAGACGTTTGGTTATCAATCACATTTCAGATGAGTTATTTTATGTAAAAACACCGGAGGCTCCGGTTGCATCTTCACCAGAATGGATTATCGGTGATTACCTTAAAACCAAGGGTTTCGTAATTCCTGCCTCATCGATAGTTTTATTTTGATCAATGTCACAAAATGTTATTTATTAGTTGTATTTTTTAAAATATTTTTTTACAACATTTAATTTAATACTTTTTCTAGAACTGGATATCTTATTTTAAATGCAGATGTCATTGTTTTAAGTTTGAAGAATTGCATCCGAACTAATTTTACAACACGAACATTTATTTTATCAGTTAAATGATACATTTATAGCATTTGGGTTGTTTGTTTTCTAGTTGTTTCTGTTTTTGTTTGAACACATTATTTTATGTCTGCTTTTGTTCAGAAAATAGTGTCAAGAATAGTAAATGCGGCATTTCTAACCCTAAATTAGCCATCACATTAGTTTTTCACGAAAAAAATGCACTTTGTGGGGAAATAGCTTGTTAAACTCAGATTTACTGGAATATAAATAAACAAAAAGTGACTCAATTTATGCAGCAGTTTTATTTTACTGCCTTAAACAAGTATGATGAACTTTACAACTTGTTGTATTGTTTCTAAACTTATTGAAAGTTGGATTTTGTCTTTTGTATATGCGGTTTTCACACGCCACTCGACATGCTTACAGTGGAAAAAAACCCGGTATGGAATATGTGACTTTGCTATGAGCGGCACGAAAGTTTATGTTGCATTGGTACGGTTGGTACTAAAGGGACTGTACATCGATGCGAGGACACACTTTCCTTCTGGTAAAAACACGTTTCCAATTCAATAAGTTGGGGGAAGCCATTCCTGATTTTTGTAGTAATTATTCCATTAGGATTTGATGCCTTTTCAGAAACTGAATCAACACATCCACTTGTTAATTGGCTTTTTAAATGTAAATGTGAACAAGTATGTGCCCTGACTAACTGCACTTGTTACATCAGCTTAGGTTTTTTTTTTTGTTGAGGCTCCTTTTTCAGCACAGGTGATTTCGTCCCTACCTGCTCTGCGCTTAGCATGCATTATTAGTGAACATGTATCTCCAGACAGCTCAAACCTGTTGATAGATGCCTATCAGTTGCTCTAAGAGTCTAATGAACATTATCTCCTGCTGTCAAGCTCTCATTTGCTGCCTGGCTTCTGATCAAATTGCCTTGGTGATTATTTTTTTTCTGTACTGAAGGTTAACTGCCTGCTCCATCAACAGTCAAATCAAGAACCTGCACATGCAGTTGCACACACTCAAGATGTCTTATCTGACAAATTTCTTGCTTTCTATTCATCGGCATCACTTTTTCCCTCCTTGCAGCGTCTTTGTCTCTAAACTTCTTTTTTTTATGCCGCGAAGCAAAATAAGAGGCTGCCAGCGCCGCGTGCTCCGATCGTACTGTAGTGTAATCACTGTCAGAAAAGGGAATTTACTTTCTGAAAGATTGCATTTAACTTTCATTTCAAGTGTAAATACGCGGAGACATTCGTTTGCTATGTGCTCTGTTCTCACTTTCCCTTTTGTTCATGCTTTATAGCTATTATATCATTATTGGTGG